AAAAGTTCAAATCATTAATTACAACTAGAAAATATGCCAATTTTCTTGGCGTACGATTTAAATATCGCATGCAGATATGCCATAACTCGCCCAATCATTCGGTTACAATATTGAAACTTATAACTACTATGGTGAATTATATAATCTATCATATATTTCAATCAATATCTCTTAAATAACAATTAATTTAGCATGAGTAAACTTCGTGAATAAAAGTGCGACTCATAGTCTACCAAAACATCACATTAATTTCACTAAGCCTAACAAATCATAATTTGCCACATTAATAGGCAAACTAACTATTGCTAGTGACATACTTTCGGCTTTAATTTATAAAACTATAGTTATATTACGACAAATATTTATGCAACCACCTAAATCACATGACATTACTGATGTAAACATAACTTAAATTAAAAATTGCGGCATTACTAAATATAAAATTAAATGGGTATAACTTGCTTAGGCTGCAATTCCAAATATCCACAGTTATAGATCTGTATAAGGCCCTTTTCTTGATGCACTTCATCACTGAATTCAGCCTGATCATCGGGAGTTGAATAAATAGCAACTGCAACATATGATCGATCTTGAAGATTGGTAACAAATTGAGTGACATCATTTGGCACCCGTTGAACGGGACACCAACATAAAGATTTTACAAAACCGCCGACAAACAATAATCTGTGCTCTGAAACAATTAGTAAGAATAAAAAACCATACTTTCATCGAATTCAAAAAGCCTTAAGTTCTTGAAATTTTCAGAGCCAGAAAAGCCAGTATATGATGGACTAATATTAAGAATTGGTAGATATTCATCTACAACACTACAAAGTATTTAGTAAACGAGGTGACATACGAAGCGTGCAACCTGGACCACGCCATTAAGGGAGGAAACATCTTTTTTTGGCGAATATCATACGCTTTTTTTAGGGAGTGGGAAACACTTTAAGAATAAGCTCAAAAAATAAATACCTCGGAACAAAAGTAAATGGATGTGAACAGGATAATGTAAGAGAGCATAATCTGGCCAAATACAGGTCGAAGTATCCCATCAATGTGTCAGAAGAGCTTTTACCGATAAATGGATCAGCAAATGACAAATGATGGGAGTATAGATCTCCGCTTTGATCTTTCTTAATCTCGTTTGGAGTCAGATAACAGGGTTCTTTCCTCAAAATAACAGAATCTAAAATTTAGTCAAATATAATTAGAAACCTGATTGCAGTTGTTGAACACTACAAAACGCTGATGAATCGCTGGGTCCAATACATTTCTTAAGAGTATTCGGTTGCTTCACAGCTTCGACTGCAGAAGAACTGGATGATGTGTCGGAAGAATTGCTATTCGAGAATTCCGAACCATCATCCGACACTCTCTTTTCATTATCATCAGAATCAGTAACCTTTGACAGCATGCTCAAATTTTGAATACATTCCCTAAAAAGGATAATTAAGAACCGTAAGAAAATACCTTGCACAGCGCCTCTTGCTCTTAATAACAGGCATATCGGCTGGGTTAAACCGCCCGGCACTTGGAGTAAGTTGAGCCCGACTTTTAATATGTTGTATTAAATTATAGTATTTTAACCTTTTGAAAGCGAAATATTTTATTTGATTACTTTGTCTTTCAAAAAGTATTACATAAGGATTTTTATTTTATCTTTGTGTATGGTCGGCTGCTATTAGCTGATTACAAAGATACTGGTATTTACTGAGGCAGACTCTTTGTTAGTCACCATTTATCACGCATTTTTGTGCTCATCGTGTAAGCTAATACCGTAATAACGTAAATTTTAATTTATATTTAAGGCTTGGTAGAAGTTTATGATTGATTTGCTTCCCAAAAGACTAAATAGTTTTACTTCAGTTTTAAAACGTACTGTTTACGTAACTTGGTGATATTGGCAGGAAGATCTAAAGGAATGCACCTTGTTTTGAGTCCAGAATATGTATGATAATTTCCGTATTCGGACCTTGAATTTGTTACCTTCCTAGACGTTTCGCCGGAATCGTAGTCAGCATCCTCAGTGAGCTTTGCCATTCTAATGACCACATCATAACTCGTCAAA